ATTTATATCTGGCAGCTAGAGCAGTGCCATTTGGATTTATATATCAAGTGTACTTAGTTCATGAAGGGATCTGTTCCATTATCACAGAGCGTTGTATTGGATTCCCTTTCTTGTTTTTTTTTTTTAGAAAAAAAGCAGGGAAAGAAAATAGATAAAAGGTACTAATGTGGGTAATTATCTTTACAATTCTTGCCAATGTAGTACTCTCAAATCCTTTTTATCATCTTTCTTTTGGCCCCCCGAGAAACTATTGGCCCCCGGAAAAAAAAATTTTGGGAATTTTTTTTTTTTTTTTTTTTTTTTTTTTACAGTCCAGAGGTCTTTTATTTTTTTTTAACACCTATTATGCCATGAATTCATAGGGAATAGGTTCCAGCAGCTCAGGCTCCTTCCCATTGGTTCTCACAAAGTGTGCTTCTCTGGGTGGAGCAGGCTGGCGCTTCAGTTGGACCCAGGTACCATTCTCTTTGGCTTCTTTCTTTTTCTGATCATTTTCCTTCACACGTTTTAGGAAGCTATCTCGGCTCTTAGAGTGCTTGATGTGCTCAATACGCACATTAATTCTCTTGGCAAGAATCTTGCCCTTAACTTGTTTGTTTACAACAATCCCAACAGCATGCTGGGTAACATTGTAGACTCTTCCAGTTTTGCCATGATAACATTTGTGGGGCATTCCTTTTTGAACAGTACCCATTCCCTTGATGTCCACAATATCACCTTTCTTATAGATTCGCATATACGTGGCCAAAGGAACAACTCCATGTTTTCTGAAAGGCCTAGAGAACATGTATCGAGTGCCTCTCCTTTTTCCCTTTGTGTTCGTCATTTTGGCGAATTACTGGAAGATGGCGGTTCCGGCCTAAAGGCGGGAAATTTTAACTTATTGAAAAATCTGTAGACTACAGCCAACACTTTCTAAAGAGCAAGAGCATCATTATGGCTTTTTCCAAGCACAAAAAGAGGTGCTTAACTTTAATTACATCAAGATTTTATAGATTTGGCTGGCTTAATATCTTAAGCCTTGATTAACATTGGAGAGCTTATAATCATCACTATTCAGACTTCAAGAGTTAGAGGAGACCTGAAGAAAACACCTGCCAAGGGGAACAATTATTAGAGGAAGGGGGAGCTCTAGAGTGACAGAGACATGGATTAAGGTAGGAGCCTAGTGGTTATTGATAGATTTTGAGAATAGGTGCTTATTGGTCATATGAATTCAAAGCAAGTATAAATAATCAGAAAGTAAGAGTTTACTAAAAGAACGCCTTTCAGAGGTACACTGCAATAATATAATAAGAGTGACATTAATAGCATCAATTTATCAAGAACATACTACAATGCTTCTCAAAGTGCCCCTCACAAAGATAGCTTATGAGTCCCCCAAAATCTCCTTTAGAGCCTACCATCTTCAGTTTGTCTGACTTGAAAACATGGGTTCTCCCTGCTTATTTCCTATTTTACTTTCCTAAGGACACTTGGCTTCTAGATTGCCAGGGATATTCAGATATTACTGAATCAGCTTCAGATATGCTTTTCCTACTATGATTATTTATGATTAAGTATCATGGGTGATATGGTTTGTTGTGTCCCTACCCAAATCTCACCTTGTAATAATTGTAATAATACCCACATGTCAAGGGTGGGGGCCAAGTGGAGCTAATTGAATCATGGCAGGAACGGTTTTCTCCATACTGTTCTCATGGTAGTGAATAAGCCTCATTAGATCTGTTAGTTTCATAAGTGAGAATTCCCTGCACATGCTCTCTTGCCTGTCACCATGTAAGACGTGACTTTGCTCCTCATTTGCCTTCTGCCATGATTGTGAGGTCTCCCCAGCCATGTGGAACTACGAGTCAATTAAAGCTCTTTTCTTTATAAATTAATCAGTTTCTAGCATGTCTGTTTTAGCAGCATGAAAACAGACTAATACCAGTGGGAAACAGATAAATGTGTGTTAGTGCCCTGTGAACACATGTCTCACTAAAGCTGGACCTGGAAGGATGTTAATACTGAACTGAAGTTTAGGAAACTCCTGTTTCCATGTCATCATAGACCCTCAAAACTCCTGACCTGCAGGAGTCATTTTACACATGTGATTTTTAGAAAAGAAAAATTATCTTAAAGAACACTTGCTTACTAGGCTGTGTTAGAAGAGTTATTATAGGCCATGTGAATATGTAATTACCATGATTTATTTGTCAAGTACTGAACAGAGGTGAATTTCCCACATTTTTATTGAAATTGAGAAGTTAATTAGTATGACCATTAAGCAAAACCCAGAGAGCATTATAGATGAAATATTTCCTTATAATTCTAATACTGATTTCAAAACCTGTTAGGCTTAAAATTTTATTCAATAGTTCCCAAACACTTTTCCCTTCAGTTAATGGATCTCTGCGCTTATCTTTATCACTAAAAATATTCTAGGTATATTTAAAAGGTTTACAGAAGTTCTTGCTGGACATAGAAAATTGTTTGTTTTTGTGAAAATCTGCTGTAATGTCCTTTGAAATTGAAAAGTATAATTTGCTCTCTGATATTACTTGGTCTTTATGTAGCCCTTCTTGTTGCCAAGTACTATATAATCAGTAGTTCCTCTGAGCTATTCTTATGTTACTCATTAAAATATTCTTTTGATATAATATGCGATTTACCTGTGTTATACCTTTCAATATGTTTCAGTGGATGAAGGCAATAAGATGGGCCTTTGTAATATTGTGTGTTGGGGTCCCCAGGACTATCCCCAGATTTAATGAATCACTAGGGGGCTTTCAGGACCCCATATCTAGTCATACAACTGTGATTTATTGCAGCGAAGGGATACAAACCAAATCAGCAAAGGGCAAAGACACATGGGATGAAGTCTAGGGGAAACCATGTACAAGCTTCCAAGATTCCAAGATCAGCTGAAGGCTTGACTAGAACAAAAGATTGACCTCCCCTGAGCAAGAAGGAATTTGGCCAGCCTACAGCTTATTGACTTGAACTGCAGCATTGGCTCTGCCTGGGTCTCCAGCCTGCTGGCTCACCTGCTGGCCCACCTTTGGACTTGCTAGCTCTGTAATCACATGAGCTAATTCCTTAAAATAAATAAATACACACACACACCCTAGTGACTCTGCTTCTCTGGAGGACCCTGAAACATAAACCATATTATTTGTACAAACAGTTTAGACACAGCAAGTTACTCTAACCAGTGAATGGTGGGAACGTGACCACCCAGTGGGTTCATTTTGCCCACTGCCCAGATACAGCTAATTTATCAAGACAGGGGAATTGCAATAAAGAAAGAGTTTAATTCATGTGGAGCCAGCTGAATGGGAGACTGGAGTTTTATTATTACTCAAATCAGCCTCCTAGAAAATTCAGAGGATAGGTTTTTTTCAAGGATTGTGTGGCAGGCAAGGGAATGGGTACCACTGCTTGGTTGGGGATACAGTCATAGGGGTGTGGAAAATGGTCCTTTGCAAACTAAGTTGACTTCTGGATGGAGCCCACAGGACCAGTGGTCACAGTGGAGCCGTCGGTTGTCAGAAATGCAAAACAATGAAAAGTCATCTCAAAAGGCCAATCTCAGGTTCAACAATTGTGATTTTATCTGCAGGAGTAATTGGGGAAGTTGCAAATTTTGTGGAATATGGCGATTATTGCTGTATGTCTACACCTTAGCAGAATTCAGCTCCTCTCATCCTCCTACCCTGGTGGTCTTTCATTAGGTTTACAAAGGTGGTTTCATTTTGGGGAAGGACCATAATTATTTAAACAGTAAACTAAATTTCTCCTTAAGTTATTTTGGCCCAAGCCCAGAAATGACTAAGGGCAGTTTGGAGGTTAAAAGCAACAGAGGGGTTAGTTAGTTGGTTAGATCAGATCTTTTTCACTGTCATAATTTTCTCACTGATAATTTTTCAATGGTGGTTTCAGGCACATTCCTGAAATCTAAATTCCCAGATGCCTGTCAAGGGCCACCCTTGCAAGCAAGTCCTTCCAGGACAAAAGTATAGACCTGCTGCATTAACATCTTTCTCTGTATACTCCTGTCAATGAAGAGTCAAACTCTGGAAAAATATTTTAAGAGATTTATTCTGAGCAAAATCTGAGTGTCCATAGGCTGTGACACAGCCCTCAGAAGGTCCTGAGAACATGTGCCCAAGGCAGTCAGGGAGGGGCTTGGTTTTATACATTTTAGAGAGGCATGAGACATCAATCAAATACATGTAAGAAATAAATTGGTTTGTGGTTTGGTCCAGAAAGGCAGGACAACTCAAAGTGGGAGTGAGCGGTTGCGGGGGTACCTTCCAGGCTATAGGTTAATTTAAACATTTTCTGGTTGACAATTGCTTGGGCTTGTCTGGTTGAGTTTGTCTAAAGACCTGGTATTGATAGAAAGGGAATGTTCAGCCTAAGATAAAGATTGTGGAGATCAAAGTTCTTTTGAAGTCTTATAGTGGCTGCCCTTAGAGATAAGAGATGACAAATGTTTTCAATCAGATCTTAGTTATCTCTTTAGGATTGGGAGGGTCTGGAAGAAAAAGATCTAGCTTGTTAATAAATTTTTGGCTAGGTACGATGGCTCGTACCTGTAATCCCAGCACTTTGGGAGGCCAAGGCAGGAGGATCACAAGGTCAAGAGATCGAAACCATCCTGGCCAACATGGTGAAACCCAGTCTGTACTAAAAATACAAAAATTAGCCAAGTATGTTGGTGCGTGCCTGTACTGTAGCCTCAGCTACTTGGGAGGCTGAGGCAGGAGAGTCGCTTGAACCTGGAGGTGGAGGTTGCAGTGAGCCAAGATCACGCCACTGTACTCCAACTTGGTGACAGAGCGAGACTCCATCTCAAAATAAAATAAAATAACAGTAAATTAAATTAAATTAAAAAATAGAAAGTAAATTATTTACAGATGCAAATTCCTCAGCTCCCCCACCCAGCCTTCTCACAGATAACAGCTTTGCAGAGCCATTTCGAAATATGGCAAAGAAACATGTTTTGGGGTAAAATATTTTTATTTTCTTCTTTGTCTCATAATGTTATGCCAGAGTCAGGTTGGAAAATAAGTCATGATATATAGGGTTAAATAAAACCCATCTGATGAGAATTTATGATTTGTAGGGCATGACTTCCCAGACTCCTTAGATAGGATTTGGGCAAGATTAAAAAAAGTCAGAGTTTAACCCCCACTCCCATCTCATATACTTTATATAAATTATAGAAAGAAAGAAAATGAGAGAGGAGATTTTCTTATCTCTGCTGGATTCTTGTGTATGTATGCCTTGTTCATAAACCAGAGTGAATTGCTCATGTTCAGGGGGATGGAGGAGCATTATTAATACATATAAGACTGTTGCTGGTAAACTGAGTTCTTTTCTCACTTTGTATTAGTCACAAAGGAAGAACCTTCTAACAGAAAAGGCAATCAGGTTTTATTCACTGACTAGGGAACCAAGGAGGGAGACTCTGGCTCTCAATGTCCCTTTTTGCTGAACTGCAGAAGGCATGGGTTTTTTTAAGGACTAGGTTCAGGGTGGGAGAGGCATGTTTGCCTGTGCCAGGCAGGATTGCCGGGCAGGACTCCAGATATACCAGGTGGATTCAAACATGTGTCTTCATACAACGCATATACACAAAAGAGTAGAGATTTTCTTTTGGGGAGAGAATTTTAGCATTATAATTATACATTAATGATTTGAAGGCAACTTGGGGCACCTTTTCCTGTTTGCTCTGGTTTGTGGGGTCTTATCTTCCTCTGGTACCTGGTCAGGGGTCAAGAAGTTCTTGTGCCATGCCAAGCCAACTAGTTTCTTTAAGTAACTATGCCTAGAAATAAAGGGACTAATGAAAAATGTAAGAAAAAGAACTTTTCCAGTTAATTCATCAGGGCCGTCCTGGTAACAAAATCACAAACAAGCTGAAGCTATTCCCTATACTGTTTTCCTTGTTACCACTAGTATTTCCAGTCTATCTTTTGCTTTTTTGTGTTTTGAGGTTTTTTTTTGACACAGGATCTTGTTCTATCGCTCATACCAAAGTGCAGTAGCACCATCACAGCTCACTGTAGCCTCAAACTTTTGGACTCAAGCAATTCTCCCACCTCAGCCTCCCAAGTAGCTGGGATTACAGGTGTGTGCCACCACACCTGGCTAATTGTTTTTATTTTGTTGAAAGAAGGTCTTGCTGTGTTGCCCAAGCTGGTCTTAAACTCATGGCCTCAAGTGATCCTACTGCCTCAGCCTCCCAAAGTATTGTGATTACAGGCATGAGCCACCATGCCCAGCCTCTAGTCCATCTTAACATCAGACAACATCACTAAAGTAGATAAGTGAGTGTCAAAAGATGTTGATCCAACTTTGGAGTCCTTAGATCTGTGCTGCTATGCAGTTTCTGTCCTGTGATATTTCATTACACAGCATAACTTTGAACTTCACAGGAAATTCCATGCATGAATGTGTCCTGAGATGTGAAATCAGAACTAGTACCCAAGTACTTGTCAGAATGAAGATCCATTGACAGCAGTCTCCCCAGGACTTTCTCCTCTCCTGCAAGTCATCAGCAAGGAAGATCCTCCTGGGATGGAAAAATGGAAAATTTCCAGGCATTGCCAGTCTTTGCAGAATCTGTACTCATACCCTGATTAAGAATGAACAATTACCAGCACCCTATAAATGTCTTCATACTCCCTTCCACTCCTTGCCTGCTCCCTTGACTCTTACCACTAGTGATGTGTTTTCTTGTTTTTGAACTTAACATAAATTAAATCAGCTGGATGCAGTGGCCCCTACCTATAGTCCAAGCTACTCCTGGAGGCTGAAGCAGGAGGATCACTTGAGCCCAGGAGTTCAAGACCAACCTGGACCACATAGTGAGACCCTATCTCTAAATGGATGAATGAATGAATAGATGGATGGATGGAATCCATCATACAGCATATACTCTTGCATTTGGCTTCTTTTGCTAAACATTATGTTTGTGATGTTTACCTGTGTTAATGTATGTAACAATAGTTGGTTTATTCCTTTTTTGTTGTTGTTTTGTTTTGAGATGGAGTTTTACTCTTGTTGCCCAGGCTGGAGTGCAATGGTGCGATCTCGGTGTGCTTCAACCTCCACCTCCCGGGTTCAAGCGATTCTCCTTCCTTAGCCTCCCAAGTAGCTAGGATTACAAGCATGTGCCACCACGCCTGGATAATTTTGTATTTCTAGTAGAGATGGGGTTTCTCTATGTTTGTCATGCTGGTTTTGAACTCTCAACCTCAGGTGATCCACCCTCAAAGTGCTAGGATTACAGGTGTGAGCCATCGTGCCTGGTGGTTTTTTCCCATTGCTGTACTGTATTCCATTTTTAAAATCTGTTTTATTTTGTTGGGCTTTGAATTATTTTCATTGTTTTGCATAATGCTGCCATAAATATTCTTCTACATGTGTTTTGGTAAATTATGCATTACTGTTGGATATATACCTAGGAGTAAAACTGCTGGGTCATAGAGTGTGCATCTCATTCACTTTGGTAGATGCTGCAAAACAGTTTCTAAGTGGTTATGCCCATTACATTCCCAGCAGCAGTTAATGAGTGTTCCACTTCCTTCACATCCTCACCATCACTTGGCCAGGCACGGTGACTAATGCCTATTATCCCAGCACTTTGGGAGGCCAAGGGGGCAGATCACCTGAGGTTAGGGGTTCAAGACCAGCTTGGCCAACATGACAAAACTCCGTCTCTACTAAAAAATAATAGTAATAAAAAATTAGCTGGGCATAGTGGTGTGCTACTGTAATCCCAGCTACTGGGAGGCTGAGGCAGGAGAACTGCTTGAACCTGGGGTGTGCGGCAGAGGTTGCAGTGAGCTGAGATCGCGCCACTGCACTCCAGCCACCTGCGAGATGATGAGACTCTGTCTCAAAACAAAACAAAACAAACAAACAAAAAATCCTCACCAACACTTGGAAGTGTAGGACTATTTCATATTAGCCATTTTGGTGGATGTGAAGTGACAGTTCAATATGGTTTTGTGTTCCTTGGTGACTACTGATTTTGAGCACCTTTTAATGTATTAATTGTTCATTTTTGATTTTTTCTTTGGTGAAGGGCTTATTCAAGTCTTTCACCCATTTCCCCCCCTAGAATTATGTACATGTCCTATATATGACATTTTATATATGTACACACAAACGCACACATGTGCACATGTATATTTCTTCCATCCTGTGTGTTGCTTTTTCTCTCTCAGTGTTTTTTGATGGGCACAAGTTCTTAATTTTAATGAAATTCAGCATGTCAAGTTTTTCTTAAGCCTTTTGTGCTCTTTTGAGAAATCTGCTTGCCCCATGATTAGGAAAATCTTCTCTCATCTTAGAATTACTGTTTTACCTTTTACATTTAGTCAGAAGTTTTTTAGAACTAACTTTTTTACATGGTTTGAGGTAGAAATCATAACATGGTTTTTCCATATGAATATCCAATTGACCCAATAAATTTTAAAAATCCATCCTTTCACCCATTCACTACAGTGTTACTGTTGTCGTAAATCGAGTAACTGCATTTGTTGTGGATCTATTTCTGAATTCTGTATTTTGTACTCTCAATCTATTCATCCTTATGCCAGTGCCACAATACCCTAATTATTATAGTTTTATAGCAAGTCTTGATATTGAGTAGTGTAAGTCCTCTAGTTTTGTTCTTCAAGGTTAGCTTGGCTATTCCATATTCTTTGTATTTAATATAAACTTTAGAATCAGTTTGTCAAATTTTCACAAAAATAAACTGAGATTTTGATTGGCATTTCATTTAAACTACACATCTATTTGTAGTAGAATTTACATTTTTATAATGTCAAATTTTGAAATTGGCACACAAGTTTTTTATTTAGGCCTTTTTAATTTTTTAAAAAATGCTTCATTGTTTTATTGGTCTTAGATAATAAAGTGTTTAGGATTTCAGCATCTGTGCTCCTAAGAGATGTTGTACTGAAATTTTCCTCTGTTGTAATATCACTTTTGGGTTTGGCTAGTAAGGCTATGCTGGCTTCATAAAACAAGTTGGAAAGCATTTCTGCTTTTATATTCTGTGAAGAGTTTGTGAAGAGTGTAGTTTGAATGAATTCACTGGTGAAGCCATCTAGCTCTGGTAGTTTCTTTGTGAGAGAATTTTAAATTACACATTCCATTTATATACCATATATATGATTGAAAAGTTGTAACTTATTTTTCTGCCAGTTTATTGAATTGTATTTTCCTTTTTTTTTTTTTTTTTTTTTTGAGATGGAGTCTTGCTCTGTCACCCAGGCTGGAGTGCAATGGCACGATGTCAGCTCACTGCAACCTCCACCTCCCAGGTTCAAGCGATTCTCCTGCCTCAGCCTCCCAAGTAACTGGAATTACAGGCATGCACCACCACACCCAGCTAATTACGCCTGTCTAATTTTTGTATTTTTAGTAGAGACAAGCTTGCATCATGTTGATTAGGCTGGGAACTCCTGACCTTAGTTGATCTACCCTCCTCAGCCTCCCAAATTACTGGGATTATAGGTGTGAGCCACTGCGCCCGGCACCGAGTTGTATTTTCTGTGAATGTATACATTTTGTCTAAATTGTCAAATTTGTTGACCTAAAGTTGTTCGTAATCTCTTCCTACCAGTTTTTTATTATCTACCCTAATCTAAAGTCATGTCTCTTTTCCAGTACTTGCAATTTCTGTCTTCTCTTTTTCTTATCAGTTGTGCTAAACGTCTATAACTTTGGAATGTCTTTTCAAATAACTTTTGACTTTGTTAATGTACTTTATTGTATATTTTATATTTTATTAATCATTCTTCTTTATTTTTTTTTCTTCTGTTATTTGAGTTTAATTTGTTGTGGTTTTAAAAACTGCTTGATGTGGATACCAGTAAGACATGCATTGAACATACTCTCTTTATAGTAGCGATAGGTTGTATCATTTCATTCACCTTTTTTCCCCATTATCCTTTGTGTGACCAAAAGCATGTATTTTCAAATGAAGGCCCCTTAATAAACTAGGGATATAGATTGTTAATATGAAAATCTTATTTTTTAAAGGGGCAGCTTCTATAGTGTAGAGCTGTGGCCATAATTGTAATTAAGCATGTAGCAATTCAAAACATTGCCCAAGGGTCTGATTTCCAAGGATTAAGTATTACACACACAAGTTATTATATGGTAGGAAGTGACTTAGCACCAAGGATAACTGAGCACTGTGGCTGTGGCCTTGGGTAATGCTACTTTTCATCCCCTTTTGATATTAATCTATTAGGAGTACTGTGTTAGTTTCCCAGGGCTGCTATAACAAAGTATCATAAACTAGGTGGCTTAGAAAAGCAGAAATGTGGCCGGGCACAGTGGCTCACACCTGTAATCCCAGTACTTTGAGAGGCCAGGGCAGGGTGATCACTTGAGGATAGGAGTTCGAGATCAGCCTGGCCAACATGGTGAAACCCTGCCTCTACTAAAAGTATAAAACTTAGCTGGGCATGGTGGCATGCAACTGTAATTCCAGCTACTTGGGAGGCTGAGGCAGGAGAATCACTTGAACCCAGGAGGTGGAGGATGCAGGGAGCTGAGATCGTGCCACTGCACTCCATCCTCAGCAACTGAGTGAGACTCCATCTTAAAAAAAAAAAAAAAAAAGAAGAAGAAAGAAGAAAAACAGAAATGTATTATATCACAATTCTGGAGGCTAGAAGTCTGAAGTTAAGGCAGGAGCAGAGCCATACTCTCCCTGAATCCTATAAGGGAATGGTGCTTCCTTCTCTTCTTTTTGGCTTCTGATAGTTGGCTGTCAATATTTGGTATCCCTTGGCTTGAACATGCATCACGAGAATCTTCTGTCTTCATATATTCATCTTTCTTTGCATGTCTGTCACTGTGTTCAAATTTCCTCTTTTTTTTTTTTTTTTTTTTTTTTGAGACTGAGTCTTGCTCGGTCGCCCAGGCTGAGTGCAGTGGTGCGATCTTGGCTCACTGCAGCCTCTGCCTCCTGAATTCAAGTGATTATCTGGCTTTAGCCTCCAGAGTAGCTGGGATTACAGGTGCATACCACCACACCCGGCTATTTTTTTGCATTTTTAGTAGAGATGGGGTTTCACTATGTTGGCCAGGCTGGTCTCAAACTTCCAGCCTTCACTGATCCATCTTCCTCAGCCTCCCAAAATGCTAGGATGACAGGCATGAGCCATGGAGCCTGGCCAAATATCCTCTTTTTATGAGGACATCTGCCATATTGAATTAAGCCCTACCATGATGATCTCATTTTATCTTGATTACATCAGTGAAGACCCTATTTCCAAATTAGGTCACATTCTGAGGTACTAGGGGTTAGGATTCCATCACATCTTTGGGGAAATACAATTCAACTCATAACAAGGACAATTTCAACATCTGTTAAGAAGGCTCCACAGGGCTGGGCATGTTGGCTCATGCCTGTAATCCCAGCACTTTGGGAGGCCAAGATGGGTGGATCATTTGAGGGGTTCGAAACCAGCCTGGGCAACATGATGAAACCCTATCTTTACTAAAAAATACAAAAATTAGCTGGGCGTGGTGGGGGGCATCTGTAATCTCAGCTACCTGGGAGGCTGAGGCAGGAGAATCTCTTGAACCTGGGAGGTGGAGGTTGCAGCAAGCCAAGATTGCATCAGTGCACTCCAGCTTGGGTGATAGAGCAAGACTGTATCTCAAAAAAAAAAAAAAAAAAGAAAGAAAAGTTATGTTTTAGAAAATGGTCAGATGCTAATGCATGTGCTTCTAGAATACACTGAGGCTTCTCTCTGGTACTTCTTATGATTCAGAAATTTTAATACCTACTCTGCCTCTGTAATGCTGTTGGTTTTCTGTGATGTTTCTTTCTAAATCACATTTTAGCAGTCTCACCCGCGAGGCAGCATCAATAGATTTTTAAGATCAGAAAGCAGAAGGGCAAATGAACTACTAAGTATAGCTACATTTCTGGGTCAATTAAATCCAAATTGACATCTCTAGTGCTTCTGTAATGTGGTAATGATAATGGTCTACCTCATAGGGATGTTGTGAGGAATAACAAATTAATGATTGTAAAGCACTCTGAAAATAGAAAAGGCCCAATAAAAGCTTGTAGTTATTAATGGTAATCATTTGTAACTGACCTAGAAATTACTGTTAAGTTACAGTGCACATCTTGTAATCCATTATTTTCTTATAATTTTGGACTTCTAGCTCCAAGCTCTGTGGAGAGATTTTATGCTGCTACGCTGCAGCCCCCAACAGCCTTCTCAAGAGAAATGTGAAAGCAACACTATCCTGTGGCTCTCGCCTCTAAAATTTTCTTTTTCTTCTTTATAGTTGAGTTTGGAGATAATTCTTTTATTTATTTATTTTTGAGACAGGGTCTTGCTCTGTTGCCCAGGCTGGAGTGCTAGGGCTCAATCATAGCTCACTGCAGCCTCGAACTCCTGGGCTCAAGCAGTCTTCCTGCCTTAGCCTTCCAAGTAGCTGGGACCTCAGGCACACACTACCATGCCCAGCTAATTTTTTTATTTTTAGTTTTTTTTTGTAGAGGTAGGGGTCTTGCCATGTTGCCCAGGCTATGAATTCCTGATATTCATTCATCCAACTGTTATTTACTGAGCATGCCAGGCACAGGCCTGGATTCTGGGGACACAAAGATGAAAAAGAAAGGCAGATGTGGTACCTATTCTCTTGAAGTTAATGGTCTAATCAGGGCCAGGCGTGGTGGCTCTTGCCTGTCATACCAGTACTTTGGGAGGCCGAGGCGGGTGGATCATCAGAGGTCGGGAGTTTGTGACCAGCTGGGCCAACATGGTGAAACCCTGTCTCTACTAGAAATACAAAACTTAGCTGGGCATGGTGGCCGGTGCCTGTAATCCCAGCTACTCAGAAGGCTAAGGCAGGAGAATCGCTTGAACCTGGGAGATGGAGGTTGCAGTGAGCCAAGATCACTGCATTCCTGCCTGGGCAACAGAGTGAGACTCCATCTCAAAACAAACAAACAAACAAATAAACAAATCTAATCAGACATAAGATAAAATAATCAGGTGATTGTAAAATGAATGTACTAAATATGCTGAGATAGGAAATGCAGAAGAAATGAGGAAAGGGCAAATAACCCCACCCTGGGAGCAGGAGTTTGTGCCAGGGACTGGGTTGATTGGGAGTCAAAGTGAAACAGCATGCCTCCCTCCCTCCGGAACATTCTGCTCCTGTCCATCACACTTTCCTAAAGAACCGTGCTTAGAGAAAAATTACTCTCCCATCTTACTTCTTCAGGTTATGGTCACCTAAGATGCTTTTTGCTTTCTCTCTTTAAAATCTGAATGGGAGAAGTAGGTCTTTTACCAGACCAAAAAGAACTTGCCTTATCTGCTCAGCTATACAGGGGTTAGGATTAATAAGCTGGTAACCAGCCACTAGGAAGGTGTGCAATAAGCTGTTGGGTTTCTTGTCCTGCCAGACCTTGGCATTCTCTATGAAGAATATAGAAGCCCTCCTGCAGCTTCCACTGGATTTTGTGATGAATAATGACCCGAATTAGGGGAATATCCTAGACAGAGTTTTGGATTATTCATCCTGGTGACCTCAATGCCTCTGTATCCTGGGAACCCCAGTCTCTCCATCTTCTGTGGTCTGGGTGATTAAGGTCCTAATTAATTCTCCAGTCCCACAGAGGCAGGATGTATTCCTTATTCCTCTTGTGCTTCCAAGAGCTGGATTTTCTATTTTGCATCTCAGCCTTTCTTCGTGATGGAAGAGTCTGTCAGTCCACATCTGCTGGTGAATGGGTCCCTCGTCATAAGTTCTTTCCTGACAACTTCCATTCCACAGCTGGGCGCTCAGCTGTGGCTTTTTCTGTCTCTTCCTGACACATAATTCTGGATTCTAGACATGTTTCAGATGTTTAAATCTGGCCCATTTTCTCCTTCCTCTCCTTCCTGTCTTCAGCAAATATTTATCAAGCCCCTCTGATCTCAGCACTGGGCTTGACTGTGGCAACACAAAGGTTTGAACTAACTGTCAGACTTCCCTTCACAGCTTTCTCTAGAATCACTAAATATTGCCCGGATCCTTGGAAGGACTCATGCAGTTTCTCAGCCTCTTAGGGTAAAATGCATTTAAAATAAAGTCAGATAAGGCCAGATTTAAAGCTATCATTTCAAAAAGTGACTGCTTCCTGGGCACTGACCACAGCAGCTGCCTGCTGGCTCCAACCAGCTTGGGTCTCTCTGTTCTGAATTTTGACTAATTCAGCTTCCTTTCAGCTTCGCTCAGCTCTCGTATCTATGCTATGAGCACAGCCTGACTCAGTGAATGGCTATTCTTTCTGTTCAAAGCATTCTGTAATTGTTTCTGGACTCTGTAATAGGCTTTGGTTGTAACCATAAATATTTTTCCAGGATTTAGTTTCCCCAAGTTCCCAATGGGAAGTACTTTATTCTGGAATTTCTTGGAATTGACCTGTTGGGTCAGAGCTTGAAGAGTTTAATCAAATATGTGGATCCCGGTACATAAATACTGTTCTTACTGCCTGGACCCCAAAGCTGCTTTAACTCCTAGACCCATCCTCATGCTCCCACCAGAGCAAAGTTTTAGCAGAGAGGGGAGGACACAGTGATCACTCCCCCAAGAGTTGCATGAAATCATGGAAGGGATGTGCCCTGAGCTATTAAAATACCGCTGTGAAATCTGGCTCTACCAGTTATCAGGTGAACTTCAGATTCTACTCTGTTAATTGAGGGAAATATAATCCATTTCAGTAGTTTGTTGTAAATATTTAAAAATATAGTAAACAGGCTGGGCACAGTGGCTCATGCCTGTAATCTCAGCACTTTGGGAGGCCAGGGGAGGTGGATCACTTGAGGTCAGGAGTTCGAGACCAGTCTGGCCAACATGGTGAAACCCAGTCTCTATTAAAGATACAAAAAATTAGCTGGGCATGGTGATGGGCACCTGTAATCCCAGACACTTGGGAGGCTGAGGTAGGAGAATCTCTTGAACCTAGGAGGTGGAGGTTGGAGTGAGCTGGGATCACGCCCTTGTACTCCAGCCTGGGTGATAGAACAAGACTGTCTCAAGAAGAAGAAGAAAATGTAAATATAAAGCATCTAGCACAAAGTCTGGTATACATAGTAGGTGCTCAAAAATGTAGGTTCCTTCATTGTGTTTAGAGTTGCCGCTTCCAATGTATGGCATCAACATAATCTCTCAAATCTCCATAAGGTTCATATTTTGTTTACTTCAGATTGCATCTTATTATCATCATTAAATACATTTTTGAACTAGATGTGGGGGCAGAAAAAGAAACAGCAGGTTGAAATCAACAAAGATTAAAAACTCAAGGGAAGAGTGCTCATTATATCTATTTTCTTTAATTTCATATGATTCAGAATAATGGCACATCATAATCCCCAGCAAGTAACAGAAGGCTCTGTCTCCTTACATGTGTGATTCAGAAATCAACTTGTAGACCTCTAGATCCAGGTTGGCAATGTCTCTCTCACTGCCTGATTTCCTTCCTTTCTTTCTCTCCCTTCCTTCCTCCCTCCCTCCCTCCTTTCCTTCCTTCCTCCCCTCCTCCCTTCCTACCTTCTGTTCCCTTTTGGACAGAATCTCACTCTGTCGTGCCTAGGCTGGAGCTCAATGGCACAATCTTGGCTCACTGCAACTTCCGCCTCCCAGGTTCAATTGATTCTCCTGCCTCAGCCTCCAGAGTAGCTGGGACTACAGGCATGAACCACCATGCCCAGCTAATTTTTGTATTTTTAGTAGAGATGGGGTTTTACTATGTTGGCCAAGTTGGTCTCCATCTCTTGACCCTGTGATTCACCTGCCTTGATCTCCCAAAGTGTTGGGATTACAGGTGTGAGCCACTGCGTCCAACCTCACTGCCTAGTTTCTAACAGGATTTGAAGAGAATTAAGGTTTTTATTGATTATTTTTATTTTTTTAAAGTGACTGCTAAGGGAAGCTTGTAAGGCCATACTTTAGTACAATTATGAGGCTAGATTCCAGAGCTGCTAACCTGGCAGTCCTGTGACTTCCCCAAGGACAGATTAATTTAAAGTAGGTGAAGAAGAACAACAATTATTGCCTTTTGTAGGACCTAGGAGTACTTGTTAGGAACAAAATGTGCAATCGAATGCTAATAATGATTCTGCAGCCTGAGCATTTCTGAGTAGTTTAAATATACAAATTGCTTTTGGTTGACGTAACTCTGTTTCTTGTGATATTTGCTCCTCTAGGGAAGCGTAAAAGAAAAATGAAAGTCTTTCTTAGGTCTGCTGTTCAGGGAAAAATGGCATTGCTCTCATAGAATAAGAAATAAGGTAGGAAAGGGGGATGGCCCTATCATAATTATTTATATCTATTTTTCCATTTGTATTAGAGATAGCGTTGCTATTAATCAGGGACATTACAATGGCTAGTTTCAAAATATAAATCTTTAGGTGATGTAGCAGAGATATGGTGAGTTCCTTATGAATTGTTACCAAAGGAAGATACAGCCCTAATTCCTCAATTGTTCTAGACAGAGCCAGGATTCTGTGCTGCTTTTAAATACACCTAAAGGTTAAGTAGTATGACATTTCTTAGAAAGGCAGGTGATGAAATATGGTAATAAACCAACAATAATACTCTGAATTTGTGAAATATCTTTCTTTTTTTCTTTTCATTTTTTTGAGACAATCTCACACTGTCACCCGGGCTGGACTACAGTCGTGAGATTTTTGTTCACTGCCGCCTCCATCTCCTGACTTCAAGCAATTCCCCTGCCTCAGTCTCCTGAGTAGCTGGGATTACAGGTGCCCACCACCAAGTCTGGCTAATTTTTTTTTATTTTCAGTAGAGAAAAGGTTTCACTATGTTGGCCAGGCTGGTCTCAAACTCCTGACTTCAGGTGATCTACCTGCCTTGGCCTCTCAAGTGCTGGGGATTACAGGCGTGAGCCATTGCACTCCCCCTCCCTTCAATATCTTTCTTTTAAATAGTTTAAGTGACTTTCATGTATTTTCTTTCCCTTAAGAAAACTGGAAGCTGGGCACGGTGGCTCACGCCTGTAACCCCAGCACTTTGGGAGGCCAAGGCAGGTAGATCACCTGAAGTCAGGAGTTTGAGACCAGCGTGGCCAACATGGCAAAACCCCATCTCTACTAAAAATACAAAAATAAGTCAGGCATGGTAGCAGGCACCAGTAATCCCAGCTATTTGGGAGGCTGAGGCAGGAGAATTGCTTGAACCCAGGAGGCAGAGGTTGCAAGGTTGCAGTGAGCCGAGATGGTACCAGTGCACTCCAGCCTGGGTGACAGAGCAAGATTCCTTCTCAAAAAAAAAAAAAAAAAGAGAGAGAGAGAGAAAGAAAGAAAGAAGAGAAAGAAAGAAAACTGGGCACATGGTGGCTCACTCCTGTAATCCCAGCACTTTGGGAGGCTGAGACAGGAGGATCACTTGAGTCTAGGAGTTTGAGACTAGCTTGGGCAACATAGTGAGACCTTGTCTCTACAAAAAAGTGAAAAAAAAAAAAATATTTAGCCAGTAGTCACAAGCCTGTAGTCCCAACTACTCATGGAGCTGAGGTGGGAGCACCATCTGAGCCTGAGGATCCTAGGTAACTGAGTGAGAACTTGTATTAAAAAAACCGTAAACTAGAAATATTTTCCCTATATGCCTTTATGTGTTAGAATAAAAATTGTGTGGGCTTTATTGATTCTTGAATTACGGATTTATACACTCTAAGGTACCATGTCCTGCTCCTTTTTTTTTTTTTTTTCCCATTTATTTATTTTATTGCATTTTAGGTTTTGGGGTACATGTGAAGAACATGCAAAATTGTTGCATAGGAACACACGTGGCAGTGTGATTTGCTGCCTTCCTCCCCATCACCTACATCTGGCATTTCTCCCCTTGCTATCTCTCGCCAGCTTCCCACCCCCCACCCTCCCTCCCCTATTTCCCCCCAACTGACCCCAGTGTGTAGTGCTCCCCTCCCTGTGTCCATGTGTTCTCATTGTTCAACACCCGCCTATGAGTGAGAACATGCGGTGTTTGATCTTCTGCTCTTCTGTCAGTTTGCTGAGAATGATGGTTTCCAGGTTCATCCATGTCCCTACAAAGGACCCAAACTCATCGTTTCTGATGGCTGCATAATATTCCATGGTGTATATGTGCCACATTTTCCCTATCCAGTCTATCGTCGATGGGCATTTGGGTTGGTTCCAGGTCTTTGCTATTGTAAACAGTGCTGCAATGAACATTCGTGTACACGTGTCCTTATAGTAGAACGATTTGTAATCCTTTGGATATATACCCAGTAATGGGATTGCTGGGTCAAATGGAATTTCTATTTCTAGGTCCTTGAGGAATCGCCACACTGTCTTCCACAATGGTTGCACTAATTTACACTCCCACCAACAGTGCAAAAGTGTTCCTATTTCTCCACATCCTCTCCAGCATCTGTTTTCTCCAGATTTTTTAATGATCGCCATTCTAACCGGCGTGAGATGGTATCTCAGTGTAGTTTTGATTTGCATTTCTCTGATGACCAGTGATGATGAGCATTTTTTCATATGTTTGTTGGCCTCACGTATGTCTTCTTTTGAGAAGTGTCTGTTCATATCCTTTGCCCACTTTTGAATGGGCTTGTTAGTTTTTTTCTTGTAAATCTGCTTTAGTTCTTTGTAAATTACGGATATCAGCCCTTTGTCAGATGGGTAAACTGCAAAAATTTTTTCCCAATCTGTTGGTTGCCGATTCCCTCTAATGATTGTTTCTTTTGCTGTGCAGAAGCTGTGGAGTTTGATTAGGTCCCATTTGTCTATTTTGGCTTTTGTTGTCAATGCGTTTGGCGTTTTGGTCATGAAGTCCTTGCCTACACCTACGTCCTGAATGGTTTTGCCTAGATTTTCTTCTAGGGTTTTTATGGTGTTAGGTCTTATGTTTAAGTCTTTAATCCATCTGGAGTTAATTTTAGTGTAAGGTGTCAGGAAGGGGTCCAGTTTCTGCTTTCTGCACATGGCTAGCCAGCTTTCCCAACACCATTTATTGAACAGGGAATCCTTTCCCCATTGCTTGTTTTTGTCTGGTTTTTCAAAGATCAGATGGTTGTAGATATGTTGTGTTGCCTCCGAGACCTCTGTTCTGTTCCATTGGTCTATATCTCTGTTTTGGTACCAGTACCATGCTGTTTTGATTACTGTAGCCTTGTAGTATAGTTTGAAGTCTGGTAGTGTGATGCCCCCCGCTTTGTTCTTTTTGCTTAGAATTGACTTGGCTATGCGGGCTCTCTTTTGGTTCCATATGAAGTTTAAGGTGGTTTTCTCCAGTTCTGCAAAGAAGGTCATTGGTAGCTTGATGGGGATAGCATTGAATATGTAAATTACTTTGGGCAGTATGGCCATTTTCACGATATTGATTCTTCCTAACCATGAACATGGGATGTTTCTCCATCTGTTTGTGTCCTCTCTTATTTCGTTGAGCAGTGGCTTGTAGTTCTCCTTGAAGAGGTCCTTTACATTCCTTGTTAGTTGTATTCCTAGGTATTTTATTCTCTTTGTGGCAATTGTGAATGGAAGTTTGTTCTTGATTTGGCTCTCTTTAAGTCTGTTACTGGTGTATAGGAATGCTTGTGATTTTTGCACATTGATTTTGTATCCTGAGACTTTGCTGAACTTGCTTATCAGTTTCAGGAGGTTTGGGGCTGAGACGATGGGGTCTTCTAGATATACAATCATGTCGTCTGCAAATAGTGACAATTTGACTTCCTCCTTTCCTATTTGAATGCCCTTTATTTCTTTTTCTTGCCTGATTGCTCTGGCTAGAACTTCTAATACTATATTGAATAGCAGTGGTGAGAGCGGGCATCCTTGTCTGGTGCCACTTTTCAAGGGGAATGCTTCCAGTTTTTGCCCATTCAGTATGATATTGGCTGTTGGTTTGTCATAAATAGCTTTTATTATTTTGAGATACGTTCCATTGATACCTAGCTTACTGAGTGTTTTTAGCATAAAGGGCTGTTGAATTTTGTCAAAGGCCTTCTCTGCATCAATTGAGATAATCATGTGGTTTTTGTCTTTGGTTTTGTTTGTGTGGTGAATTACGTTTATAGACTTGCGTATGTTGAACCAGCCTTGCATCCCCGGGATGAAGCCTACTTGATCATGGTGGATAAGCTTTTTGATGTGCTGTTGCAATCGGCTTGTCAGTATTTTATTGAAGATTTTTGCATCTATGTTCATCATGGATATTGGCCTGAAGTTTTCTTTTCTTGTTGAGTCTCTGCCGGGTTTTGGAATCAGGATGATGTTGGTCTCATAAAATGATTTGGGAAGAATTCCCTCTTTTTGTATTGTTTGGAATAGTTTCAGAAGAAATGGTACCAGCTCCTCTTTGTATGTCTGGTAGAATTCAGCTGTGAACCCATCTGGACCTGGGCTTTTTTTGGGTGGTAAGCTCTTAATTGCTGCCTCAACTTCAGACCTTTTTATGGGTCTGTTCAGGGTTTCGGCTTCTTCCTGGTTTAGGCTTGGCAGGAGGCAAGTGTCCAGGAATTTATCCATTTCTTCCAGGTTTATTAG